AAAAAAAAAAAAAAACATTTAATGTTATGTTGTTGGAGAATTGGAGCAATTTTTACATTTTAAAGTTGTGTTGATTGTTTGTCATGGTTGATAATACCAAAAGAGCTCAAGGCTGTGTGTGCCCAGTTTATATCCAGACTTTTTGGAATAATAAAAGGTACGGTACACGAAAAAACGTGTTTTTGTTGTATAAAGAGGCATCAGAAGTTTGTTTTGTTGCCTATATATCTTTGAAGGTTTTTTGTAATGTTAATGACGAAAATGGCGATTCTCCTTCCTTTGATGGTCTTGTATCTATATGGTTCTACATTTTTAGTTCTTGTTTTATGTGGAGTGTTTGCTCAATCTTTTTCAGACAAATCAAACAGTCTTAAGACAAAATAAGCTGTTGAGGTTTTAGGACAAAGCTAGTGAGTTAAAATTTTAAGAAAATTAATAAATATAATTTGGTTAAAGAAAATGTAAAAAATTATTACAGCTTTTCAAACACCCTTCAACCATGTAGGTTACACTTGAATGAGTGCTGATCAAGTCATTCCAATGGAATATCTACCTTTCTTGTTCTCATTCACCACTCAATAAGTAGTAGTAAATCAAACTCCTCTCAAGAAAGTAAACAAACAAAACAGAGTGCCAATCATGAGGAGAAACATTTCAAACCCTAAACGAACAAACAAACACATTTGCTTCGTCTAAACCCATGAGCCGATCAACACAGCCAAGAGTCACCCGTGGGTCGTTCGAAAATGTTCCACTGCTCGGGTCGAATGCTGGGGCTTCAATGGCGGTCGAAGGTGGCGGCGAGTCGCCGGGAAGTTGCAGCATAAATATTTACATAAACAATGATTTCCAGGGTATCAATAACTCTATTTTGGTTGGTAGTGATGTGAAAATGGGGGATCCTGGAGTTAGGCTTTGTTTGGAGGGGCTGCAATTAGACAGAGCGTTTCATATGGTGAGAAGGAATAAGAGTTGGGATTATTGGGTGGTTTTGGTTGGGTTTGTGGTGATGGTAATCTCATTTTCTGCTTATTTGTTGGTGTGATTGATTGAATTATCATGTTTTTCGGTAATAAGAACTTGTATTGTTTTTGTTATTATTATTTTTTTTTAATAGTTTTTTTCTTTTTAAAAGGGGATCAATACTGGTTCCCCAATTTTCCCCCGAGTGACTCAAATTCGGGACATGGTAAACGCCGATCGAAGGTATGTGCCACTGCGCTAACCCCTGGATACATGGTTGAAGAATAAATCAAAACCGTGTTTTATGTTTTATTATTTTAAGACAAAAACGCTCTTCATGCATCCTTCGAATTGTGACAACTTGCCTACATGCCATTAATTTCAGTCAAATGGAAAAAATTAATAAAAATCCAAAAAAATCATGAATTGTTTTAAAACTTAATTATGAATGAAACAAATTGTAAATCATAAAAATAGGATTTATAGATATATTTTTTCTTTTATGGTATATTTTTATTTTTTAACAAGTGATAAGAGAGAGCTATAATTAATTAACAAGTGAAAAGGATAGGGAAGGAATTAGATTTATAACACAAATACCTCTACGTGAGATTTTATGTTCTAGTTAGGTATTCCATTGAGTAAATTGTAATATTAGTCCTGTACATTTCACTATCCTAACTTTTTCGCCCTCTACGAATTGCGCTTTTTTTTTAATTTTTCGTCCTCTTCGATATGTGTTTTTAATTTTCGCCCTGTATATTTGCAAAAATGTTACTAAAAGGTCTTTTTTTCGCATAAAAAATGTACTTTATGTTTTTCAAAATAAGTTTCATTTGTCCCTTATGTAGGAAAAAGACCTTGTTGTAACCATTTTAAAAACATACGGGACGAAAATTAAAAACGCAAATCGAAGAAGACGAAAAAGTTAGGTAGTGAAACATACAAGACTAAAATTACAATTTACTTTATTCCATTTCCGAATTCAATTATTCCATTTCCCAATTCATTCAATTGACGTATAACACCACGTTTTATGATGTTATATATTTGTACCCTAATCACCCGTCCGATAAAATGAAATACGAAATCTGACCTATATACAAGACGCTACAATTTCTTTCGATCAAATTTTTTGCCTCGATTTCATTAAGTTATATATACGACGTGTTTATAAATATGACATCACCATATACACCACGTGTCATTTATCCAATTGAATAAGAGACAACACGAAATCAAGAATAATAGACAAATCTTATTCCCATTAATAGAAAATCTTATGCCCATTTTTTTCGTGCTTTCAATTGCAACGGTAAACAACCTTCATATACTCAATGAACAATTTGAAAATTGAACCACAAAAAAAGATTGCATTTTTTTCAAATGCACATTATGAATACGGAAAGGCGTAGCTGTTCCATGGCATTAAAAACACAAGCGGCACGTGCCATGAGGAGCCATGCCTGAGCAAACTATTAAATGCCATTTTTCTTACATTACATTTGATTTTTCAATACAAAATTATGCACCACATTTATTTACACTTACACATAAATTTGACATATTTCTCAAGATTATATCTAATAAGTTGGGTCCTATCTGTAAGATAAGATCACAATTTTTATTCATCAAATAACACACACACACGCACACGTGTCTCTATGTGTTGATTATATGATTAAAATTCAAAACACCCCGAGTTAAAAACTGCTACGGTCCCGTTACGAAACTATTCCGTCGAGATTTGTAACCGTTAGATCAACTATTTCCAACGGTTACAAACGCCGACAAAATGATTCTGTAACGGAGCCTTAACATTTCCTTGACACTACCGACTCTCAAATTTTACCGATTATTCTAAAACCAAAAAAAAAAAGGCATTACTTTATAATTTATACTAGCTAATTAATAGACAAAAATTGAAGAATGTACTTAAACCAAACATAGGAAAATCCCATGTTATCGGAAACACCAACATGGGAAGAATGAAAAGCATATCCCATTGACAAAGATTTGTGGGGATGATATATCACCTTCAACATTTCAAAAAGAAAAGACTTGTGTACCAAATAGTACCCCATTAAATTTAGTACCCATTAATACTTCTCGTGAAAACTCCACGCACACTAAAAGCTCCTGCAGATAAAAATCTCTCTCTCTCTCTCTCTCTCTCTCTCTCTCTCTCTCTCTCTCTCTCTCTCTCTCTCTCTCAAAACCCCAAAGGAAACTCGTGAGGGTAAGAGCTCCTTAAACTTCACGAGCATCTTCACTTCCTCTTGTCTCTTCACACGAACGCCTTTGTCCTAAATCATCCTCTTCAAATACCACCACCCCCATCACACAACAGCATGCATCAACACAACTTTCCAAGTCCAACAAAACCTCCCCCAAATTCTCTCTCAAAATCAAAATGGGCCCCAAGAAAGTCCAAGTCCTACTACTCACAGTCTTCTCCCTACTACACTCACTCTCCTCCCAAGCCCACAACCTACAGACCTACATAGTCCAGCTCAACCCGGCCGGTTTTTCCGCCTCGTATTTCGCCTCCAAACACCACTGGCACCTTTCCGTGCTCGACCGATCCTTCTCTCCAGACCAACACCACGACTCCTCCTCCTCCTCCTCTTCCCGCCTTATTTACTCCTACGAGTCTGCCATCGAAGGCTTTGCAGCCCAACTCAGCCCACCCGAGGCCGACGCGTTGAAAACCTCGAAGCACGTCATATCGGTCAAACCCGACCGAAGGCTCCAAATACACACCACCTACTCCTACAAGTTCTTGGGCCTGAGCCCAACTAAACAGGATGGGGCCTGGGTCAAGTCCGGGTTCGGCCGGGGCTCCATAATCGGCGTCCTCGACACGGGAATCTGGCCCGAGAGCCCGAGCTTCGACGACCGTGGAATGCCCCCCGTCCCAAAGAAGTGGCGAGGGGTATGCCAGGCTGGACAGGGCTTCGACGAATCGAGCTGCAACCGGAAGCTCATTGGGGCTCGTTTTTTTAGCCGGGGCCACCGAGTGGCCTCGTCCACGCCGTTGCCCGAGGCTGTGGTCGAGTACACATCGCCTAGAGACTCGCACGGCCATGGGACACACACGGCCTCGACTGCAGGGGGCTCCCCTGTCGGGTCAGCAGGAGTTCTCGGGTTTGGGGCTGGAGTGGCCCAAGGGATGGCGCCCGGGGCCCATTTAGCCGTCTACAAGGTGTGCTGGTTCAGTGGGTGCTACAGCTCGGATATTCTGGCAGCAATGGACTCGGCCATTAGAGACGGGGTAGACGTGCTGTCCCTCTCGTTAGGCGGGTTTCCGGTGCCTCTTTACGAAGACACGATAGCTATTGGGAGTTTTCGGGCCGTGGAGCACGGGATATCCGTCGTGTGCTCGGCTGGGAATAACGGGCCGGTTCAAAACTCGGTAGCAAACGAGGCCCCGTGGATCGCGACTATAGGGGCGAGCACGCTCGATCGGAAATTCCCGGCCGTGGTTCGGCTTGGCAACGGGGAGTACTTGTACGGAGAGTCGATGTTCCCGGGAAAATTATTCGGGCCCAATCGGAAGGAGCTCGAGCTGGTTTACGTGACGGGAGGTGATAGGGGGAGCGAGTTTTGCTTACGCGGGTCTCTACCGAAGGCGAAGGTTAAGGGCAAAATGGTCATTTGCGACAGGGGCGTGAACGGGCGGGCCGAAAAGGGACAGATCGTGAAGGAAGCCGGTGGCGCTGCCATGATTTTGGCCAACACGGAGATAAACTTGGAGGAGGACTCGGTCGATGTTCATGTCCTTCCAGCTACGTTGATAGGCTCTGATGAGTCGTACCGGCTCAAAATGTACATGAACTCGAGCCGCAGCAGGCCCAAGGCAAGGATCATTTTTGGAGGGACAGTGATCGGGAGATCGAGGGCACCTGCAGTGGCCCAGTTCTCGTCTAGAGGCCCAAGCTTCACAGACCCATCGATCCTGAAGCCCGACGTGATCGCGCCAGGTGTCAATATAATCGCCGCATGGCCTCAAAATCTTGGCCCGAGCGGTCTTCCGGAAGATTCCAGAAGGGTGAACTTCACAGTCATGTCCGGGACATCCATGGCGTGTCCCCACGTGAGTGGAGTGGCAGCTCTGATACACTCGGCCCACCCTAAATGGACCCCGGCTGCTGTAAAATCTGCAATCATGACCACCGCATATTTAACCGATCACACGGGAAAACCAATTTTCGACGGTGACAAGCCCGCTGGGCTTTTTGCAACCGGGGCTGGCCATGTGGACCCAGGGAGAGCTATCGATCCAGGATTGGTGTACGATATTAGTCTGGACGAGCATGTAACTCACTTATGCACGCTCAGATACACTAAATCGGACATATTCAGCATTACTCACCGGAACGTGAGCTGTCGGGAGCTTTTGAGGAAGAACAGGGGATTCAGCCTCAACTACCCCTCGTTTTCGGTCATTTTCAAAAAAGAAGAGAGAAAAAAGATGGAGAGGAGAGTTTTGACGAACGTTGGGAAGCCTAATTCCATTTACTCGCTGGAATTGAAGGCTCCAGAGGGAGTCAGCATGAAGGTTAGACCAAGACGCTTGGTTTTCAAGCATATAAACCAAACTTTGAGTTATAGAGTTTGGTTCATGTCGAAGAAAGGTTTGAGGACAAAGAGTACGGCGTTCGGACAAGGGCACTTGGAGTGGGTGGAAAGAACCAATTCTTACAGGGTCCGGAGTCCGATTTCAATTACATGGACATCGACAAAATGAGAAATCTGTTGTTACTGCACTAATTCCATCAATTAATAGTGACAGCTAATAACTCCAATTTAAGGATTTGAGACTTAGGATTCTATACAAGAACTCTACATCCTCATATTGTATTTTGGATTTTCAGCACATCTTTATTTTTTCTACTACGAAATGAGATATTTCATGATGCACTTTGAGAATATATGATGGTTTTCCTAATCTACAACATAAACTCGATACAAAAACGTTCTTTTAAAGTTCACTGTAAGACACACATACACATACACAGCCGAAAGCTTCATATAAAGAAGCTTCCATCATGCTTGCTATGCTAAACACAGACAAAAAGAAAGCAAGCAAAGACAAAAACCTTCATGAGCATGAAATATCTCAAGAATCGAATCAAATTTACCTTCTCAATCATTTCACAAACCATTATAGCAATTAGTAACAAAGATTGCCTCGGAATAAATATGCCAAAATGAAATATATTTCCGAAAAAAAAAAAAAAAAGATACCGGACCCACCTCAAGTTACTTCTTGACGAATGACAGCCCGTTGGCATTTGCGTAACGCTCCATGAACCTCATGAACCGGTCCCACTCGCGTGGGGTCCGCATGACGTACTTAGCCTCGATGCCAGCTGGCTTCCCGTTTACGAATTTTGCATTCACGTCGACCGACTGGAGGACTCCCTCCTCGTCGATCATGTAGAAGCCTGTGATGTCACCCACCACGCTGGACGAGTCGAAAACCGAGGGCTCCGTGAACGAGAAGATGGCCATCCCGTTTGTCCCGTCCCTTGACTTGGTCAACCTCACGTCGGGCACCGTCTGCTCGTCCATCCCCTGAATGAATTGGATCGTGGGTTTGACCATCATTACGACACGTGGTGTTGACTTTTCGTGCATTTGACTTTGCTTTCTCGAGCATTGTGATGGGCGCGGGAGGGTTAGGGACTGGCCATTGAATGACGAGCTCGCGCTGCTGGAGTGAATGGCTCCTGATATCGAGAAGCCTAACCGTAGCCCCCAAGAAAAGATAAAACTGTCAAATAATTTGCTTAAAATCTCAATCTTCAGCTCTTGGAATTTACTTTAGTACATCAAATGTCAATAAAATAATTAATTAATCAATTCGAAACTCAACCAACGAGACCGGTACAAGGATGAAAAGACCTGTTATTCAGATTAACAAGCATTTCCTTTGGTTATGGAACCACGACTAACGATTAACGAATGGTCACTCACGCATATTATCGAACACTTTGAGAGGATACTAAATTTGCTCTCATTGCTAACTTGTGGCACACAACTCAGAGCACATAAGATCTGGGAAGCGCAATTTTATGCAAAATCATAAATTTCGTGAGACAGCCTTTTATCTCCAAAGACAACTTTCCAAATTACACAACTAATACAAACTCACGAGCTGTCTGCAAACTGAAGCGCGCGCACACACAGACATACACACACACACACACACACACACACACACACACACACACACACAC